TAAGTGGGGCATTTGCTCCTTGCTGGAAGCAAAGCCTGCATTATCTTTGTCAGAGGCTTATCTGGGTTTTGGCATCTTCCCAACTGTGGTTGCTGAGTTATCTGGTGGAAGTGTGCAATTTATCACCCTGGCCTGCTGTGTTAATGACTTCAGTGTGGTTTGGGTTGTTGTTTTTTTAAATTTCTAATTATCTTTACTTTGGGTTTGGACTGCATTTCTGCTCTTCGTAGACTGTTTTTTTGAAGAGTTTGATCTCCAGCCAAGGATAATTGGACATTGGGACCCAAGTTGGAGGCATTAAAGGGAATTTAATGTCACTTTTGTGACTTGGTTATTTTTTTGTCATGCCCCAAGTCATCACCCACTAGGTGACCGAAGTTTTTGTCGCTCAAAATTCTAACTGGAGAGCATGATTGGTGACTCTTGGCTATGGATGTGTCCCATTGGAGAATGTGAATTTCAATACACCCAGAGGGGTGTGGGGAAAAACCAGGTTCAAGGGTGACAATGAATGACGTGCCTCAGAGTCAGCTACACCCAGGCAGTGCCGGCATGTTTACTCCTAATAAATCTTTAAGTTTTGGAAGTTTGGCTCAAGACTCATGATTTAAATGGGGGTAACAGCCGCAATGATTCAGTGGTCAAGGGTCTGAATTTTGATCACGTCTCCACAGGTATGCAAGCGACAGTTGTAAGTGTGAAAGGTGGCCCCTCTTTTCAGTGTTCTTGTAACTTTGAATAGTCACTGTAGTGGCTGTTGTAAGTCGAGGACTACCTGTGCAAGGTGGGATCAAAAAAGATGGCCCCCATGACGTTTCCATTAAAGGCCGGCCTGTTTTTTATCTATGTCGGAGCTTCAGTTCTACCATCAGGGCCACCATTTTGACTTCTTTGACCTCACCGTGACATACTGCTAATCTGTTAATTACTGTATTTCTCCTCCGGTAAGACTGATTTGCAAACTAGGGCAAACAAAACCTTTGCTAGACCAATACTTGAATACAGCTCATCAGTCTGGAATCTGCACTGAATATCAGACATTGATACAATTGAGCGAGTCCAGAAGTATTTCACGAGAAGAGTACTACACTCCTCTGATCTCAACAGAATACCCTATATCACCAGGCTTATAATTTTGGGCTTGGACAACCTTGAACTACGCTGCCTATGCTTGGACTTAAGCGTAGTACACAAAATTATCTGCTACAATGTCCTACCAGTCAATGACTACTTCAGCTTCAACCGCAACAATACTAGAGCACACAACAGATACAAACTCAATGTAAACCGCTCCAAACTCGATTGCAGAAAGTACGACTTCAGCAACAGAGCGGTCAGTGCCTGGAATGCGCTATACCTGACTCTGTTGTTACATCCTCAAACTACACCTTTAACCTTAAACTATCCACCAATGAGCTCACCCCATTCCTAAGAGGTCTGTAAGGGGCGTGCATAAATGCACCATTGTATCTACCGTCCCTGTCCTATTGTCCCCATTTATTCAAACCTATTTCCTGTATTGATACTTATGCGTATTCTTTTTTTAAAACAAATATTTTATTAAGTTTCCATTATTATAATTCAAAACATCATGGTTTCCACAGCATTTTTGACATCTATACAGGTTCTTATCATATATGACTTAACACGTTATATTTACATTTATCTAACATTGGTTAATAACTTTATCCATAATTACTATTAACCTGTAAGAGACCTCAAGAAAATGAACAATAAATATGTAGAATGTAAGAATAATAATTATGGTATTCTTATTTCTATTATACTGTAAGCGTTTGACAAATCAAATAAATAAATAAATAAAATTTCAGTGGAAGAGACCTGGAAAGGAGGGGGAAATTTTTTCTTCCTTCCAAGGATGCTTCACTGACAGCAAACAGCTGATGTCACCTGGTTGCTGAATGCTTAGTTTGGCCCAAGAGAAGGGCAGGATATATAATTTGGCAAAAAAAGCAAAGTTTTGCTTTGGATTCATTTTTTTTTTCCTTTCCCCTTTCTACTTCCTTTGCTGTTTTGGAAAAAAATAATAATAATGTTTTCCACATTGCAACTCCAAAATAACAGTTCCTCCCTTTTCCTCCACGTTTCATTTTTTGTGTGTGTTGTATGTCTGCTTTTTTTTTTCGTTCCATGCAGAGAATGAAAGTTTAAGTGAAATTGTGCATTTGCACAGACTTTGCTAAAATAAGGGGAAGGGATGAAGGCTGCCAAATGAAGTGTCCCCCCCAACCCACTGATTTATTGGCGAGGCCATCTGCAAAATTACAGCTCTTAGAGGAGAGTTAACAAAGCACAAACATACTCTGTCACACAATTATGGAATAAAATTGAAAACCAGGATGATGGGTTCTTACTGTCAACTCATAAAACATTCCTATGCCTGTTTTAGTAGTTGCCATTTTTAAAAAAAGGGGGGGGAAGAAGGAAATTTGGAAGAGCAGAGAAGCAGTTTGGAAGTGGAAGTACATTCCAACTCTTATCTTTAAAAGATTGTAACTAAACTACCAGAGCTTTTGCCTGCTAATATATTTAATTGGAGAACGTGATTGATGACACCGTGAAGGTGCTCAGTTGGAGAATCTGATTTATGTCACACACAGGGGGAGGGAGGAAACAGGGTCACAGGCGACTGTAAATGTTGTAGGCCAGAGTTGGCTTCATACAGGGCAGGGCCAATATGTCGCCTCTAATGAATCCTTTGAAGCTTTTTGAAGTTTGGCTCAAGAATCGTAGTTTAATTAGGGCAATTGCTGGAATCCTGACACATTTTGGAGCTGGAAAACCAGAAATTTAACCAGGAAAAAAAACCTGAATCAAACAAAAAAAAAACCTTCAAATCTTATTAGTCCTGACTATTGTAACACAGGTCAACGCTTGACCAAGCCTGATTTTATGCCGTTTTTGTAAGTGTGTGTAGCGGTTGTTAAATAGACCCATTGTTTGCTATGGGGTGGGTATTCCCCACCCCCAGAAATGGACTCCGTTTCTGGGGGGAAAACCCACCAAATTGTACTCGCATTTTAAACTTTCTTTTTTTTTTTAAAAAAAGAAAATTATTATTAAATTTATTTTCTGCCCCTCCACTGGGCATAGATGCAATTGTGGGCCAGTTTTGTTGAATAGTAAAAATGCAGTTATATGGTTTTGGAGAGGAGGCAGATGTTGTAACTTTGGAACCGAGTTCTCAATGGCCTTTTGGGGGGGGGAGCGGGGTTATTGTCATTTCAAAGGATCACGAAGCGACCGTCGTAAGGCGAGGGCGAGCCGTATATTATTCTGTGGAAGGTCTTTTCTAGGCTGGGTGCCTCAAGCAACCAATGTTTGCATGTGGGAACCAATTTGTGAGATGCAACGAAGCCGCAAAGTTTCTTCCCCTGCCTTCTTCGGGGGGTGGCCTACCCCCTCACCCTGCAACCCTGTGCCTTTCCACCCACGTTTAATGCATCCGTTGCGCTGGAAACTTTTTTTTTTTTTAAAAAAAAAACCTGGATTCAAATCCATCTCGGTCCACCAGGCAGGGCGGCTCCTTTTTCCTAAAAATAGAAGCGGAGATTTTGGTGTGTAATTGCACACAAGGCATGGTCTCGCACACAAGGCAGGGGCTGGATTAAAGCGATGGCAGATCCCCTACAGATTTCATTCAGCTCCCAGTGGGGAGAGGCAAAGGCATCCCCTCCTCCCGCCAAGCAGCCTTGGGAAGGTCTTCCGCATTCTTTGCAGAGGACAAAAAGGCAATATGTATATATGGTATATATATGATCCAAGATTGAAGTGGCTGTTGACGTTGGTACAGAGGTCTCCAAACTTGGCAACTTTAAGACGTGTGGACTTCAATGCCCAGAAATTATCCAGCCAGCATAGCTGGAGAATTCTGGGCGTTGAAGTCCCGCAAGCCTTAAAGTTGCCAAGTTTGGAGACCTCTGGTATAAGAGGTGCCAGTCAATAACATTATTCGGATTTGTTTGTTGGAATTTTTAGACGTAGCAGAATAGCAAGGGTTGGAAGGGATCTCGGAGGTCTTCTAGACCAACCCCCTGCTCCAGCAGGAGATCCTTTCAGTCAAATGGTTGTCCAGTCTCTTCTTCAAAACCTCCAGTGTTGGAGCACCCACAGCTTCTGGTGGTAAGCAGTTCCACTGGTTAATAGCCATGCTGTCTCTTGTTTTCTGGCCTCTTGTCAGAAAAATGTCTCCTTAGTTCGAGGTTGCTTCTCTCCTTGATGAGTTTCCATCCGTTGCTTTCAGGTGCTTTGGAGAATAGCTTGACTCCCTCTTCTTTGGGGCAGCCCCTCAAATATTGGAAGGCTGCTATCCTGTCATCCCCAGACTTTCTTTTCATTAAACTAGACATACCCAGTTCCTGCAATTTGTTTTAGCCTCCAGTCCTCTGGCAGGATAGATCTTCTCTTGACCCCACCAAATCTAGCTTTTGTTTATAGCAGGATGGAAGAAGGCAGAGGTTGGGCAATCATTGGATTTGTGATAAGATCTCCAGATGGTTGGCTGCCCTGCTCAACACTTGCAAGGACAAAACGACGGCTCGACTTGCTGTCCCGTTGGGGGAAAGCAACATGGGATGGGCCAGAACAACCGAGAGCATTGTGCAATACTCAGAAAGCACCTCAATTGAGAAGACGTTCTGGTTCAAGGTGGGCAGGAGATAAATTGGGATCAGGGTGGTTGTTGGTAGAGCAGTGTTTATCCCAAAGTTGCCACGTTTGAAACCCCTTGCCTCAGGTGACTTCACCCTGCTTCCTCCGGTCTTCCTTGGACCCTTTTCAAAACCACGTTAAACAAACTCCCTCCGGGACTCTGGCCAAACGTAGGATGGAGCTTGGAGCCACCTGTGCTCCGCGGGTTGTTGTTCTTTTGCTGACGTTCTGTTGAACATCTGTTGTTTTGTTAGCCATGCCGACGCTTGTTTTCTGGCCTCCTGACCACACATTCAGGGCTCTGCTTTCTTTCTGTCCAGCCATGACCCATGACGCCCTCCTGCGCGATGTTCTACAGGTCAACCTCAGCCATGGCGCCGCCGTCCAAGAACCGGTTCAAGCGACAAAGTCGGATCTTCTCCCAGGTCTTGTACCAGACGCTGAGCTACAAGGACCGCAGCTCGGGGCACAGCCTTTCAGAGGCGAACAAGGAGGATCCGTCGGAACTCTCCACCCAGGTCTCAGCTCCCGGAGTTCTCAAGATCTTTGGGTGTCACATCTGCGTGGGCACTCACTACAAGAGTGTTTTGGCTACGGCCACCTCCAGTGCCCAGGAGCTTCTGAAAGAAGCTCTTGAGCGGTACGGACTCAACAGGGTAGATGTCGGCCATTACGTTCTCTGCGACGTCGTGGGGACGTTTGCTGGCTCGGAGAAGCAGTGGAAGATGGAAGGGTTGAGAATCCTGAGGGACCACGAGAAACCTCTTTTGATCCAGGACCTTTGGAAGCCGCGGGAAGGTTTCTCTCGGAGGTTTGAGCTCCGCAAGAGGTCTGAAGTGGAGGAGATGACGGCCGAGGACAGAGACACCATCACAGCAGGTGAGGAAACAGAAGGTCTTCCGCTCTACGGCAGCGCTGAAGTTACAAGATCGTAAGCCGTTATCTTGTGGTTTGTGGGTTGGAGCGTAGCGTGCAAACTGCCAGTGGGTGGGTGGGAGGGAGGGGGAGGATAGATCAACACGGGGCTTAGACCTAGAGAAGTGGGGGGTCATTCAAGGATATTCACTGGGGAAAACCCGGTGGAGGTGAATTATTCAGCCAAATATGTACGCTTAGTTAAACCCATCATGAAAACTTTGGAAGAGGTAGCTAGAGAGGTGAGGTTCTGGGACTTCCCATAGATTAGGATTTGGACTAAGGGGGGTGGGAGGGGAGAAACTTTGGGTAGGAAGTCTTGGCCTGTCCAAAAGTCCATCTTAATTGACTTACGGCCACAACTGTTGCCAGCATTTCAATTGTCAAGCAAGGCAATTGCAAGAATGGTCAGAACCGAGGGGACCCTTAGTGGTTCTCTGAGCTTGGTTGTTTCTTGGCAGACGTTTCATGAGCCAAACTAGGTAACATCATCTAGGAAGTGGGGTTTGTGGAGAGGAGGAGGAGGAGGAGGAAGGAAGGAAGGAAGGAAGGAAGGAAGGAAG